CCCCAAAACCCCAAAACCCCATAAGGTTGATTTAGAGAAGAATATAAGGACTTTATGAATTTTTAATTAACAATAATAAATACTTTAAAGACGGTATAATAATAGTCAGATGAATAATAAAAATTGTAAAGTAAACTTGAGGGTTTACTTCTTTATTGTTGTATTTAGCTATTTCTGCAGGTTGTAGAAGTGATCCTAGTAGCATAATAGATCAAATGGGAAGGTTTTGCACGAAATGAATAATTGTATCAGAATTTATACCTGATTCCTTATGAATTACATCAGGAAAATTAGATAGTCTGTTTGACTCATTAATGAAAGCATCACTTTCTCCTCTTATAAGTGAACCTTATGATACCATATCACCGTTTTGCTGGCCTCCATCTATCATATTACCCACAGTGTCTCTTATTTCATCTTCATTCTCAATATCTTCTACATCTATATCATGATGATTAGGATTTTCACTGATATTTTAACTTGTGTCCATGTTTGGATAATGGACTCTTAGTTTCTACTAAAATTAGGATAGCGAATCATCCTCTAATTTTTGTACTCTATTTGATTTTTGTGATGCTGATAACCTAGAATTTCCCTCAAAACTGTTTATCTGGGAATCGTTTCCTTTGTAATTTGAATGCTCCATATTTTGCTCTCTAATTTTCTTTAAGATTCCAGATTGATAATTAGAATTAAATTTTCCTTAGGTTTTGTTCTATCGAATGATTTTTAGCTTTCTCACTTTCTTTGGTAATGGCTTATTCTCTACTTCATCATCAAGTTGAATGTGCTCTAATTAATCCATAGATTAATTTTTAGACATCAGCTCTTTATTATCTATTCTAATTGAGTTTACAGAATATATCTTGGTGTCTTTTCTCTATCTCTGGTGACTTTGAGATGCATCAACAATTTAACTAGTGACAGAGACATTTTCAACTGAGTTTTTGTGACTTATAGATTTTTCAAAGAATTCCTTGAATTGATTTTAACCAAAGACCATATTATTACGATTAATAACTAAAGATTTTTTCATTGCATCATCATTGACTTAATGTTGCAAGGATTTGTGTGATATTAGGTTTTAAGTTGCTATCACATTTCTCGTACTCTATACTCTTTGCTTTTGGGATGATTTAGAAGGCTCTACATAACTTACTATATTTGGTAAAAATTTTGGTTTCTTTTATTCCATTTCAACAGTTTTGTTATCTTCATCAACTACTTATCCTCCTGAACTACCACCCATTGGATTGTTAGAACTCTAGGCTTGCTATTCTTCTTATTAATAATTCACATTAGCATCCAAATCTTCAATTACCATCTTTTCCTCTTCTATTTTTTCTATCAAAGTTTGTTCTTCTATTTCTTGCTGCTGTTTTTAATGGAGCTCCTTTAAAGCTTGCTTCTTTACTTTTGCAAGTTTTGCCACTTTTTGCTATTTTTCTTTCTATGTTTTTATTGTCTTGCGATAATCATCCCTAAGTTAATTTAACCACTCTGAATCAATTTTAATTTTAAAACTCTCCTGTATAATGAGATCAATATTTGGTAGTGTCGTTGGTTTTTTCTTATTTTGTTCTTCTTGGGCAGGAGGAGTGTTAAGGAAAGTTTCATTTTTAAAATCTTTAAAGTAGTCATTCACACCTTACATATCCAAGTCAAGTAAATCATCTTTAACTAGTTTTAAAATTGCGATTGAAACCTGAAAAATATAGATTGAACCATGGACTAATATGTTATCCCATATTCTAATGCATAGTGCAAATGGAAAGTTATATAAGAATAGACATAAAAACCATTTTTATAGCCAGAGCATTGTAGGCATATTTATTTTTTCAAAGTGCTGATATAGGTCAGGTAGTTCTTGCTGCATTACAAAATCAAACTAATAGAGATATTGCAACAGCAATGGAAATTAATTTTTAAATAGGCCCCTCACACCATCAATATGAGGTAAGTTGGTATTCAACCTGCTTGTTCTATTTATTGAGGAGAAAAACCAAAATGCTTCTTTTTAATTACCTCCATTTACAAGAAGTATAAAGGCTACTAGAAAATTTATGCTCTAGCAGTAACCGACCTTTTCATCATAAACCGAATAAGCTTTTAGCACATTATACAAAGAAATTTGTCCACTCTCACCATAATATGTCTTATTGAAAAATTTATGCTCAGGAAAAGTTCTGTCCAAGTCTTTTTCAATCTACTAAACTGAGCTAGATGCTTTTCCTTTCTCAACCATTTCCTCAAATAAGCCCTTTACTGGTTTCAAATACTTTTGAGTAAGGACTTTCCATGCCAACCAGCGATACTAATTGGGAGGACCTTTGGAGACTCTACTCAAAAATAATTGAGGGTAAGTTTCGAAAAAATTATTTAATCCAACGAAAGCATAATGCCTATTGAATACAATTGGATCTGTTGGTCATTTATTTCGCTTTATAATAACTCTACTAATGATATCAGGATCGAGCCCATACGAAACCATTTTAAACCATTTATCCAATCTCGTCTAAAGTTTCGAAGATTTTTGATTGCTATTTTAAAAGCATTATTAAAATGCGTCATTTTGAAAATAAACTCCGATCCTTGCTTCTTCATGATCTAATTATTTCAGCAGTCTCTGTTCTGATTCTTCAAAATCTGTATCTTAAGAAAAATCATTGAGTACAGGTCTTTTATTGATTGTAGCCCGAGGATACTTTTGGTACTTCTTATTTTTACAACTTACTGTTCCACAGCTTGCACCCATTTAAATCTCTATATATAATTTATTTTAACTCAATCAGATACAATTTTAATAATTTTTATCTAATTCTTAAACAAAGAAATTTGATCAGGGGTTTTGGGGTTTTGGGGTTTTGGGG